ATTTATATATATGTTATCGTTGTTTTTAAAATGGTTAAAATTGAGAAAATTTGATAATTTGATGCATGGTGACCCCATGGTCACAGCAGAACTGTGCCCCATAGGGTTTTCAGTACCTATGATCTTTCTGAAGTAGATCACCAGACCTTTCTTCCTAGGTGCCCCTGGGTGAGCTTAAGCCTTCAACTTTTTGCTTAGCTGCCAAGCATTTAAATAATTTTCTCTACCCAGGGACTCTTACACATCCTCTTAGACTCACTGCATTATAGTAGTAAATATCCTCTATGTACAAACGCAGTGTCTTAGTATATAATGTGTCAGATCTGAAAGGTGAGTGGCTTGAATCTATTCTGAGGGAGAAAGATAGGCGATATTCTCCTGGAAAGATTTACAGCCTCAGAAATCCAACAGAGGGACTTTATGAATCAGAACTGACTCGGCAGCAGTAGGCATGGATACAGTAGTATACTGAATTGAAATATATATGAGCAAAGAAGGTTCTTGCCCTCAAGAATTTCCATTCCAGAACAAGAAGAAATTTGAGGAGCTGGTGATATCATTGCTAATGTTAGGTTTCATAGGGAAGGACATTCTATATTTCTGCCTACTCCTCTTTACCAACCATTTAACTCAATAGAACACTGGGTCTATATGCTGCCTTTCCTCCCGTTAGGCAGCTTGAGAGTAAGAATTGTTTCTTAACTTAGTTGGTTTTAGCATCACCCATCAGCCATCATTTAACACTTAGGGAGATCTGGTGACACTGTCCATATGGAATTGTGCAAATTGAAGGGTCATACCTCTCTGGTAGCTCCAATTCCCCAGTGGCTCTTCAAGAGAAAGGTGGGTAATCCCTCTTTCAGCTGAAAGCCTTGGAGTCCTAAGGGGTCAGCTCTGTGTCAACTCTGACTCAACAGCAATGAGTTTATCTGAATTGAGTTGAGTTGATGAAGGAAATTCATTTATTAAAAAAATACTTATTGAGCATCTCTTAGGTACTAGGCACTCTGCAAGATTATGTGCAAATTTAATAAAACAGAAATACACTCTTCCCTCATGGAGCTAATAAGTCAAAATTCAACTCAGCCCTCAAGTCTGAACCAACTCATAGCTGACCCCAGTACTTTTGGGGAGGTTATAAATTACATGGGAAGAGATTATTTACCTTTCACCTAAGGTGCATGTAGTAGATTCAAACCACCACAAAGACACAGCCTGTGGATTAGTAGTTCAGCTCCCTACAGACTAAACCACCAGTGTTGCCTGTCATGGAGCTAATGTTATATGCCATCAAGTTTGAACCAACTCATAGCCGACCTTTCAGGGGGTTTTCAGAAGCAATAAATCACACAGAGGAGACTGACCACTTTCTCCCACAGAGCAGCTGGTGGATTCAAACAGCATGCTTTTGCTTTAGCAGCTCAACTCCTTAGCACTACACCAACAGAGCTTCCTGTCACGGAGCCAATTGTGTATTAAAATCACCAAACAATGTAACAAATAAGTGTGCAATTAAAACAGGAGTGAGAGTGATGCAGAAGAAGAATGATAGGATCAGGTGAGCACGAAATAGAAGAACCTGTCCAGGGACAGGGAAAGTTTCCCTTAGGATGTGATTGGGAGCCTCAGGATTGAGTGAGCGCACACAGGCAGGCGGACTGGAGGCTAGGGGTCAGGGCGGCAGGGGCTGCTTAGGAAGAGGGAGATGGGGAGACTGCAAAGATGGTTTTAACACATAAATCATTGAAGCTATTGGCCCATCTTAAGAGTGATGGAAGTTATTGAGGAGGGTTAAAGGAAGAATTGTGTGTTTTTATCAAATCTTGCTAAAATCCCTTAAGCTACAAGTGAACAGAATGGCTGGCCAGGGGTAAGGAAAGAAACAAGGCTAGTTAGTAGACCACTACTTTATAGAACAGGTACAAGTTGATGAAATCTTTCCTTCGTAGGCTGTACTCAGGATGGGCATCAGTGGAACTGCCATGGGGTCAGAACCAGTTCACAGCTGACCCTACAGTGAGTGTTTACAGACTGTGAATTGGACGGAGGAGCCTGCCCATTTTCCTCCCATGGAGCAGCTTGTTGGTGCTGTTGTTATGTACTGTAGAGTTGCCTGCAACTCTTAGTGACCCTATGTACAACAACAGCCCAAAACCCTGCTCTATCCTGTGCCAATCTTATTGTCTCTCACACACCTACCCCAATTACCCCAATCACTTAATCAATCCACCTCGTAGAGGGTCTTCCTCTCCTGCACTGTCCCTCCACCCTCCCAAGCATGACATCCCTCTCCAAAGACTGGTGGCTTCTTGAACATGCCCAAAGTATGTCAGATGAAGCTTCAGAATCCTTGCCTCCAAGGAGCAGCCTGGCTTCACCCTCTCCAGGATGAACTTGTTTGTTCTTCTGGAAGTCCATGGTATATTCCATACTCTTCCCCAGCACCACAACTCTCCTTCTATTATTCCAAGTCATTGTCCAGCTCTCTGATGCATAGCAATTAACTGCAAAGACCATGGCCTGTATCAGGAGTACCTTAGTCTCCAAACTGACACTGTTGACACTGAAGAGCAGTATTTTGGAGAGGTCTCTGACAGCAGACTTTCCTCAGTACAATTTGTCTTTTAATTTCCTGGCTGCTGGTACCAAGAGTGTTGATTTTAGAGCCAAACAAACTGAAGCTGTCAACAATCTCAATCTCGTTATCATCTGTCATGATACTGCCCAGTGACAAGAATCTTTGTTTTTTTGATGTTGAGCTTCAATCCATATTGAAGGCTGCATTCCTTGACCTTCCGCAGCAAGTGCTTTAGGTCCTTCTCAGTTTCAGCAAGCAGGGTTGTGTCATCTGCATAACACAGATTGTTGATGAGTCTACCTCCAATCCTGATGCCACAACTCTCCTCATAGAGCCCAGACTCCAGGATAATCTGTTCCAAATACAGATTGAAAAGGTATGGAGCTAGGACATATCCTTGATACACACCCTTCCAAATTTTGAACCATGTAGTGTTTCCTTGTTCTGTTCTGATGACTGCCTCCAGGTCCAAGTATAGGTTTCCCATAAGCACAATCAAGTGTTCTGGGACTTCCATTTTTCTCAGAGTTAGCCACAGTTTGTTGTGATCCACACAGTCAAATAGAGCAGCTAGTGGATTTAAATTACCTGCCTTTGGATTGCAACTTTTTACCCAATAGGCCATCAGAGTATTTTAGGATCTAAGTGGTGGTGGTCGTTGTTGTTGTTGTTGTTATTATTGTTATGTGCCATTGAGTCAGCTGAGACTCAGAGTGACCCTATGTACAACACTGAACTCTGCTCTATCTTGAACCAATTTCATTGTTTCTGACACACCTACCCTCATTACTCCAGTCACTGAGTCAATCTATCTCATCCAAGGTCTTCCTCTCTTGAGCTGTCCCTCTACCCTCCCAAGCATGATGTCCCTCTCCAAGGACTGGTCCTTCCTGGCAACATGCCCAAAATGTGTCAAATGAAGTTTCAAAATCCTTGCTTCCAAGGAGCAGCCTGGTTTCACCCTTTCTAGGTCAGACCTGTTTGTTCTCTTAGTAGTTCATGGTATATTCAATATTCTTTTCCAGCACCAAAACTCAAAAGCATTGATTCTTCTTCTATCATCTTTAACCATTGTCTAGCTCTCTGATGCATAGCAAGTAATTGTGAAAACAATGGCCTGGATCAAGTACACCTTAGTCTCCAGACTGACAGCTTTTCTCTTCAAGTACTCTGGAGAAGTCCCTGACAGTAGATTTTTCTCAATGTAATTCAGCTTGATGTTCTGGCTGCTGGTGCCAAGAGTGCTGATTGTGGAGCCAAACAAGCTGAAGTTGTTAACAATCTCAACTCGTTTCTGTTTATCCTGCTGCCAATTAGCCCAGTGGTGAGAATCTTTGTTTTCTTGACGTTAAGCTTCCATCCATGTTAAAGGCTGCAGTCCTTGACCTTCTGCAGAAAATGCCTCAGTTCTCCCTCAGTTTCTGCAAGCAAGGTTGTGTCATTTGCATAACGCAGGTTGTTGATGAGTCTTCCTTCATTTCTGATGCAACGTTCCTCCTCATAGAGTCCAGCTTCCCAGATGATCTGTTCCTCCTATAGATTGAAAAGCTATAAAGATAGAATGTAGTCTTGATGTACACCTTTTCTGATTTTAAACCATACAGTGTTTCCTTGCTCTGTTTTGATGACTGTCTCCTGATCCAAATATAGGCTTCACATCAGTGAGTTTCTTGTGATCAACACAGTCAAATGTCTCTATATAGTCAATGAAACTCATATAGATGTTCTTTTTGTACTCTCTGCTTTCAGCTATGATCCATCTAACATTGGCTATAAAGTCCCTAGTGCCACGTCCTCTTCCAAACCCAGCCAGCACTTCTGGCAGTTCTCTGTTAATGTTCGTTTCCAGTTGGCTTAGGATAATTTTCAGCAGGATCTTGCTTGCATGTGATATTAATGATATTGTTGGATAATTTCCACACTATCAGGTCACCTTTTTCTGGAATGGGAACGAATATGGATCTCTTCCAGTCAGTTGGCCAGGTGGTTGTCCTCCAGATTTCTTGGCACAAGCTGATGAGTGCATCCATGGCAGCATTTATCTGTTTGTTGAAATAATGTCAATTACTACACTGGACTGGGCCCATGAGAAGCCAGAGCAGCAGGGGCCAGTGAGCCAGGTGTTCAGCAAGGACGAGATGATCGACATCACTGAAGTGACCAAGGGCAAGGATTATATAGGGGTCACTAGTCACTGGTACACCAAGAAGGTACCCCCACAAG